ACACGAGTTACGACGCTTTTTGTACCACGAAAGGAACAAAAACATTGTTTCACTAACACCTGAAGCAGTTTGAGACCAACGTCTGACAGAACAATCACTCCAGAGAAACGAGGTATGATCCTTTACCCCGGTGTGCTCGATTTATAACCCCTCGCTGCCCGGATGGCTGCATTCGTCCCACCGCATTCACTAAAACGCTCAAACAAATAAACCTCCCCGCCCACTCGGGCTGTCCCGGTACATAAAAACGGGCGCACCGTCCGCGGCTAACACGGGCTCTGATTGGCTGACAGCCGTTCGGGGATTGTCCGTCAGCTGGAGCTCGAAGGGAAAACAACACTTACTCGTTTCTACCCGTCGCGGATATTTCTCACACTTTTGCGGTCTTTGTCGGCGTTCATCACACTTTTACCTCAACGCTACGAGAATGTAGAGCTGTCGTCGTCGCACACCTCATTTTTTTTTTTAAAAATTAAAACGATAAGGTAAGTGAGCTAACGTTAGCTGCTGTCAGCTAAGCTACGTTAGCTGCAGATCCAGATTACTTAACTCTTTCTTGTATTATCTTGTGCATTTTTTTTTTTTGTGTGTGTAGCTGTGTGTTAAAAAGCAGCAGGTAACAGCAACCTAAACGTTACTGCAGTTGGTTAGCAACCGTAACTAAGCTACCCTTCCTATCTGTCTCCAAGGTGACGGTGGATGTTGCTACGTTCGTCCCATCACCCCGTTTCTCTCCCTCTCTCTCTCTCTCTCTCTTTCTCTCTCTCTCACAAAGCTCCTGTCGCTTCCCCCCGAGGCAACAAGCTCCCGTTGCCCCCCCCCACCACCACCTGTCCTCGGGTTGTGGATGACTGCGCCGCCGGGGCTCCGTGGAGCGGGAGAAACCTATCGGCGTGGGCCGGCGGGGAGATGTCAGAGCGGGGATGCCTCGTCCGGGAGACCGTGTAGCAGCAGAGGGGTTACACCAGCGTGCACAGCGCCTCTGTAGACTAGAGGAGCAACTTTTCAGCCTCTCTAGCAGTGACACATATATGGATGGTGGGGTCGCAGTATGCCCACCCCCTCAACCACCATCACACCACAGGCTGGAGGGAGTAGCAGCACCGGAGGGGAAGAGGGGCCCATGTCTGCCTCCTCCTCCTCCTCCTCTTCCCTCGGCTCCTCTGTCCGCTTCGTCCCGGCTTTCTGCCTGGGCGTGGTGGCAGCAGTAGTGTTTCAGCTGGCCTGGGGAGGCCTGACTCTCACGTCTTTCTTCTTGAAGTTGTTCATCTATGTGTCGTTCGCCCTGCTGTGCTTTCTGGCAGGGAGCTTTGTTCTGCTGGTGAGGAAGAGTCCGCTCAGAGTCAGCTGCTTCGACAGGAGCAGGAGGCAGTCGGCCGTGCGGCTGGACTTCTTCAACAAGCTCATGGTGAGAAAACGGGTGTCGGGTGTCGGACGCCACGTCTAACCTCGAATAACGTTCATTTTCCATTTCTGCACCCCTAACCGTCTTCTTCCTCCCCTCTCTCATCTCCTCTCCCTCCCCGCCCCCGGATCCTCGCTGTGTTGATCTATAATAAATGAGGCAGAGTCATGCTGCTGGATTTAGACACACTTACACACACACACACACACACACACGGGTGATTTATTCCTCAAGGAAAGTGATTGTGTCCTTGTGGTTTGAGCCCATCGCTGCCTTTCAGCTGGGTTTCTTTGATGCTGTGTACTGATGACTTATTGATGTTGACAGCGGAGGAACACTGTCACTAGAAGTCGACATGTTATATGAGCCACGACGGATTCGGGCTGCCTTCCTCGTTTGTCTGAATTTTAGGCTTATTAAGACACACAGCTCTCACTTTTTCTCTTCCTGTTGTTGCCCGGTGTTTCCTGATTTCACCCGACTGTCCCCGTCTGCTTTGCGACGAGACGTGACGTGATGCTCTTTGTTGTTTTCAGGCCCGTTTCTCGGTGCCGGTTCAGGAGTCGAGCCAGAACAAGAGGGTGGTGGTGTCGCACAACGTGGACAAAGCTCTGAAGGAAGGTAACGGAGAGAGACAGCTGGAAGGTCTTCGATCAGAACTACAGGGTTCAGATTACAGACACTGAAACAAATGCAGCACTACATTAGTGGCAAACTCACGCCTCACTATAAAGTTTAGAGAATACTGTTTTCTACGGTTTAAAAATGAAAACTGGAGATTTCTCTGAGTGTCGGATAAACTCGCAACTTCTGTTTTTGAGAAAACTGCTGACTGATCGGCTCTGTTTCTGTCAGTCACCATGACCCGTCAGCGAGCCCTCCCTCTCATAGTGGATTGCAACAGTCCTGGACACACACACACACACACACACACACACACACATACACGCACACAAATAGGACCATTAGCCCTTGCTGCATC